ACAAGCTGGGCCATTGCAGCCCTTGCTTGATGTCGAAGTCTATGATGTGGACTCTGTCTTTCCCTTCAAATGCTCTCAACAACATCTCGTTCGCCGTGAAGTGGATGAATTTCGGGATCGGGCTCACCTCGTTCAGAAGCCGTAACGCTGTCCCGCAATCGTCGTCGATCCGATCGAAATCCCGGGGCGTCGTGATGTGGAACACCTGAGGCCAAACTCTGGTGACCCGAAGAGCCAGAGCCTCAGTGTAATAAGCAATCAAACGGGTGATGGGAGATGGCCCTCTTGGAGATGCAAGACTCCCAAGTTTATCAATCAAATGGTTGATCAATCCAATGTTCTTTGATCCAATTGCTTCCACACAGGACATTAGAAGACTGATGAGCTCAAATCCTTCTTCTTCTTGCCTCTGATGATCCAAATTGGAGCCCTGATGGTGATGATAAGAAGGATTTCTTGAGCTGCCATTGCCAATTTCTGGTGCTGCTGCTGAAACATTCTCTGTTGTTATTCTTGTCCTCAATGCAAATCTTTCACTTTCTGATGAAGAACTAGAACCCGAGCCGGAGCCGGAGTCGTTGTCAGCTTTCACGTGGCTGGTTTCTCCGTCGTTTCGTCTTCCCAAATCGGCGAACTCTGCCAAAAACGACGGGGGCGAAGAAATGACTTCACTTCCAGGAAGAAAGCAGAGTGTTTCCTCGTCCCCGTCCGGTTGGTGAAACCAGAAACTCCCGGCACCGCCTCCGAATTGGCTCAGAATCAGCCCTTCCCTGCCGTCTTCTCTGCTCTCCCTCTTCCTCTTGGCGCTGCTAATGGAAGACTCATCATCATCATCAATCCCAACCTGCTCTGCAATTCTCTTCAAGTTCTTACCTTTCCTCTTCCAAAACTCTTGTTTGATCGGCTGGCCAGTGGCGGCCAAGGGCGGGAGCCTGATGCTCTGCTTCTCGACGGAGAGCGCGACCGGGCGGATCGAAGGGGAGCGGGCAGCAGCAGAGGCGTCTTTCGAGCGGGAAAAGCTGCAGGGCAAATCCAACCTCTGTGTGCTCATTGAAGAGGGTAGCTGCAAATGGCAGGCTTGGAACTGCGGCTGTGCTTCACTTCTCAATCGATTCCTTGGCGACAGCAATGTTGAACTAGAACACCCAGCCAACATCCTCTATCTTCTTCCAACTTTTTTTCTTCGTTTTTCTAAAAGAATCAACAAACCCCCACCACCCTATTTTTCTCTTCTACTCTTTATAATCCAAAAATATATAACCTTTTTCTCAAATGGGTATGAACCAAAAAGAATGAAACTACGTGAGTGTGTGGAAAATTTCAAAATCGTATGAACAACAAAAAAAAAACAGAGGAATCCGATGAAAAACCAACAAGAAACAGAGGAAGAATATCAAAACAAATACTCCGTTTGAAACGTGTGTCCTAAACAACAAATCCCCACCCGAAATCAAACAAAGAATGAAAACTAGATTACAAGAACGCTGCCTAGGAAAAGAAAATCATCGGATTCCCAAATTCTCAGAGGAAGAAGTTCATTGGAAAAAACAGAGGAGGGTTTGCGTACTTACAAAACGATGAACAGAGTTGA